GTGAAGGACAGGAAGGCCTGGCGCGATAGGGTTCATGGGGTCACAAAGAGTCGGACACGACTTAATGACTGAACAACAAGTATTTGGATAGAAGAATACCAAGGAATAGCTGTAAGCTAGTTTAGAAAATCTAAAATACATTCTGGGAGAAAGCAGTGACTATTTCTATATAGTGAATAAATAAAAACATACAGGTAGTCCTCATTTAACAACCACAATTGGAACTGGTTGTTAAATGAAGTGGTCACTAAGTGAAATCGTAACTGTGCTTATGATCTTACCTCAGCTTCCTTTGCTTTACAGACCTGCAAAGGTCGTAAATGTGAGGATTGTCATAAAGTTACTTTTTCATCACTGCTGTAACTGCGAACAGTCGCTAAACAAGGCAGTCACTAAATGAGGACTACCTGTATTGGTATTGGGAGTGGTTGACCTAGTTATACTCTATTCAAGGACAAAGTTGAGTTTCTCACTCAAGTAGAGGCAAAATGGAAGGAGGGAAAAAAGTGTAGTGTATTATGCAGATATATGGTTGGGATTTCTCTGTGGATACTCAGTGGATACCCTGAGGCTCACAAGACACTTTCCAAATCCATTCACTTAGCAAGACAGTTCAGCACTTCCTCTTCAGTGTACTAGCATGACTAGTGCACAGTATGAAGTTAGTATTTCACTTGTATAGCTATAAAGTATGAAAAAAGAGAATATAAACAAAAGAAATAAAAACATTTTTTTAAATAAGGGAGAGATATTTTTCCCCTCACATGAAAGATGCAAGTAGCTAGTTTATGTTGCACTGAATACAGGTAGTCCTTGACCACAATTGGGACTGGAACTTTTGTCACTAAGTGATGCAGTCATTAAGTGAGTTGTGCCTGATTTTACGACCTTTTTTGCTGTGGTTGTTAGGCAAATCACTGCATTGTTAAGCGACTCACACAGTCATTAAGTGAATCTGGGTTTCCCCATTGAATTTGCTTGTTGGAAATCCCCTGGGAAGGTCACAAATGGCAATCTTGTGACCCCAGGACGCCGCAACTGGTGTAAATACATGCAAGTTGCCAAGTGCCCAAATTTTATAATGTGACTGCAGAGATGCTGCAACAGTTGTAAGTGCAAGGACCAATCATAAGTCACTTTTTTCAGTGCTGTTGTAACTTTGAATGGTCATTAAACGAATGGTCATAAGTTGAGGACTACCTGTATATGCCGCAAGAAATCTATTAGGCTGCAAAGTAAGATCACATTCTTTACTGCACTAGACTAACTATAGTCCATCTTCCTGGCTGATCTGGGGACAATTTTTGCATTGTAGCTATTATAGTTCTTCCTATTTAACATGGCAAGACATAATTTTATTTCTGCCTTGCTGTATACTACCGTATTTTTCCGACAATAAGATGCCCCCATGTACAAGACGACCCCCACTTTTCCAA